GTAAATTTTGGTCAATGACATGAGACAAAGTATATGTGAACTGCTGTATGAAAAGTGAATTTACTCTGTAAATCTTCACCCAAATCCTAAAAAAAAAGAAAAAAAAAAGTCTAGGGAACTGTGCTCTCTTGTATACCTCTTTGTGAAATTGGCAATGCATACTTTTTTGGGAATTTTATTTAAATATCTGCTTTATCAAATTACACCTAATGGCACATGTCAAACTGTTTCTCTATACTACTAGTCTTTTATTTGAGAGTTTTATGTCAGTTCCCTTTGCTCCTTGCCTTCCATATGAGAAGTTAATGCAGCAGTAAGCATCTTTGTTTACTTGCTTGCCATGCCTTCTTCCTTACAACTGAACATTTTAATGGCAAACAGTATTGATCAAATTTAGCCAATACAAACAGCTCATCAGCTTCCCTGCATATTCAGCAGTTCTGCGCTAACCTTTCAATTTTCTATAAGAACTTCTAAATAAAAGGGAATGTTTGTGTGCTATATACAAATAAACCGGCATTTCAAGTTTTTGCTAAGAGTGAAGGTACTTTTGGGCTAAAAGAAGGATCTGCTTTAATTCTTTTCATTGTGTCTCCCTCACTTTTAGTCACTAGAGAATATAATTACCTTTTTGAACAAAGAAAACACTACAGGGAGTTCCTGGGTTATGATGAACATCTGACTTACAGACAACTGCTGTCCCATTGGGAGCTCTGGTAGTGTAGTGCTTAAGGCACTTGACTGCTAACGAGAAGGCTGGCAGTTAAAACCCACCAGGCACTCCTTGGAAGGAAGATTGAGCAATCTACTTGCATAGTGATATTGCCTCAGAAGCCCAAGGAGGGGTCGCTGTGAGTCGGGTCCAACTCGAGGGCACAACAACAACTGTCCTTTTAATACAGGGCTTCAAATTGGTTCTTTCATGGCTTTGAGCAAAACAGGAACAGACCTGAGTTTTTATAGTGTGGGTTATTCCTCATGGTAACTGGAACAGAAGAAATTATGGGTTGATGCTTTGGAATGGGAGACTCAGAAGAGGTATAGTGAGCCCTTTCAGGAGGCTGATATGCATGAGATTGCATTATTGGCAGGTCTGTGGAAATACAGACACACTCAAAGCCATGGATCACCCACCATCTTTGAGCAAGAGTGAAGGTGTGGGGCACTGCCATCTTTTAGCAAGGTAGTGTTGTTTCAAGTACTCTTGATTTAATGTTATGTAAATCTGCCTACAATTTAAAGCAACTGAACCAACCCCTAAACCAAAACAAACCAAACTCACTGCCGTCTGACTCATAGCGACCCCTCCTTAGGTTTCTGAGGCAGTACCACTAGGGAAGTAGATTGCTCAGTCTTCCTTCCAAGGAGTGGCTGGTGGGGTTGAACCTCCAGCCTTCTGGTTAGCAGTCAAATGCCTTAGGCACTACGCCACCAGAGCTCCTAAACCAACGCCTACTCAGCAACAAATTAATCACAATCACGTTCATTTGTTGCTTAGGCAACTTTTAAGTCATTGAAAAGGCTTCACCCTTTTCTTGCGCTAAAGAACTATAAGCACTTGTTCCAAAGGACCTATAAATTCTTAAAGACAGTGGGAAAGGATCTCATTAGTAAGCTGGGGACTGCCTGTAACTGATTATACAGTTCTGTTACTGAAGTTAATATTGTATCCTATTTGATTTTCTATAAATATTTATCAGTGATGAAAGAGGTGATACGGTACTACTGCATAGGTTTTTTTTTTTTTTTTTTAATCTTTTGGCCCTGTTTCTTGGGTCATTTTTTATCCCCAGGATTTTTATACTGGAAGTATGATAGTCAGTGCCCCTTTTCACCTAAAAAGTGAATGCTTTATTAAGTGGCTTTAATGAGGAGATGGAACACTGCCTTTAATGCACAGCAATCAGTTATTACTAACAGATAAGCAATTTCTTTTGAATAAAAGTATCTGTGTAAAAATCCTGATTACTTTTTCTTTCCTTAGAATTCCATCATTCCTGGGCCCCCCTTCCTCTTTGGAGCCTGTTCGGTACTGCTGGCTCTGCTTGTTGCCTTGTTTATTCCGGAACATACCAACTTAAGCTTAAGGTCCAGCAGTTGGAAAAAGCACTGTGGTAGTCACAGCCATCCTCATAGTACACAAGCCCCAGGAGAGGCCAAAGAACCTTTACTACAAGACACAAACGTGTGACGACAGAAATCAGGAAGATTTTTCTATCAGCACCCAGGTCTTAGTTTTCACCTGTAGTTCTGGATGTACATTCCATTTCCATCCACAGTGTACTTTATAAGATTGTCTCAAGAAATGTATCTGCATGAACTTCGTGGGAACTAAAGAAAGAAAGGGACAGTTTTCCAAAGATGTTACAATTTCTTTTAAAAAGAAACTTTTGTTTATTAGCACCAATTTCTTGCCACTAAGCTGTTTGTTTTACTATACATCTTTTAATTAAAAACTATATATGTAACTTCTTAGCTATTAGCACATGTCTCTGCTACCATTTCCTTAAGGTGTTGAGCTTTAACTCTATGCTGAGTCTCAGTGAGACAGTAGGTAGTATGATTGTGGACCTATTCGTTTTAACATTGTAAAATCTTGGGTCAAATAATTCAAAGCCTTAATGCAGATGCACTAAAGAAATGGTAATGAATTGTTTGCATTTAAAAAAAAAAAACTCTTTAAGAAAACTGTACTAAATCTGAATCATGTTTCAAGCTTGTTTGCAGTAATTTTACTTTAAACATTATTCACTACTGTTTTTGAAGTGAGAAAGAAATATCAGACATTTAGCATTTAAATTGGGAGTATCTAGAGCCTGTAAATCTAACTGCTGGCTCAAATGTGTTCCCCAGCTACTACTTATACCACTATTCTTTTAATGTTTGCATAATCATAAGAACCTCAACACTTGAATACATAATCTAAAAATTATATAGTAAAGCTGGTAGCCTTGAAAATGTCAATGTGATATCTATATGTAGATAAATATATATAGTGGCCTTTCAGGACTGTCACAGTAACACTTTATTTACAGAGCTAATGTTTGTCCTAAATTTTCAGGACCCTAGAAGAGAGCTTTATACAATTACTGATGTGAATTTCTCTAAAGTGTATATTTTTGTGTCCAGTTATATTATTTAAAGAAGTGTTACTTTGTAAAAATTGTACATAAAAAGTGTATAGTTTACAATGTTTTCATCTTGTGTGTGGTTATTGCTTAATGCTTTTTAAACTTGGAACATTCACTATGGTTAAATAAGGTCTTAAAAGAATGTAAATATTCTGTTAATAAAAATTAAATATTTTAATGATTTTTTTTTTAAGTCTTGATCTGTGATTCTCCCTAGAAGGCCTATTTTGGCTTTGTTACCATACTTAATTTTATAGTAACAAACCAAAGCTTTATGCCTTCTCTCTTTGAATCCATTTCTTTTCTCTCACTATAAAATAGTCTTATAGGAAAGACAGGAGAAAAGGAGTGAAACTTACTTAGTACTTAAATTAATGAGAAGAACTTAATTTTCTAAGCACAGATGTTGTAGATCAATTCTATTTCTGCTTTTATATACTTTTTACATGTCATACTCCCAAAGTAATTTTAATAATTTATTAACAAAAAGTTCAGTTTTCAGAAATACATTAAATGCAACAATTTTATTATTAACACATGTACAATTACACTTCAAAACAATTTCAACTTTTAAAGTATTTTAAGAGGTAGAGCAAAGAATTAGCACACTCAGAAGTCTGTATATATACATTTAATACAAAAGATCTTTAGCAAGTTGATACTAAAACAATCCTCTATCCCACCATGGAAATTCTTCTGAGTTTTCCATGTGTGAATATAGAAAATGGTATTATTTAAAGAAGTAAGAAGAGCTACTTGTATGTCATATTTCCCATGCAAACCATGTTACAGTGTTTATCTATATTACATAGTATTTACAACAAAACAGATTCTAGTATCACCAAGAGACTTTCTAGATTATTAGTCAGTGCTTTCAAGTTATTGTAACCCAGTATTCTTACTAATATAGTGTATCATCTACACAAGCAAAAAATTGTATGTAAAATGTCACTGTCTATTACTAATTACTGATTTTTTTTTAAGATTTGATCCCTTATTTAAAGCAGCTTGAAATTGCCAGCTGTGTTCCAAAGTTTCTGAGGACTCAAAATAATGGCTTTGTAAAAAAATTGCAAAGATTCTTTGTCTTACTGTGGAACCCTATAATCTTGGCATGTCATTTTTATCTTAAAATGCCTCTTTCCTCATCTGTGTAATAATGTAACTGAGAATAATTCTTAACATGTCACAAATACCAGAAAGTCTTTGCAAACAACAATTGATTCTGAAGATTCTTATGAGAATGTTACTCTATACTGGGTGGCTGTCACCAACCAAACCAAACCAAAAATGAGTCCCTATGATTCTGGATAAATTCTTTTAAATTACTTAACTTTTTCCCAAGAAACAATTCTTGAAACTATTTTAGGTAAAGGGAAGAGAGCTGTAACTTCTAACAGCTGTTCATTACTTTATTATGTAAAAATTACAATGAATCTAAGTTACGGTATTATGAAAAACAGTCATTATGTTCTTGTAGTAAAGATTTTCTATAGTACCAATTTTAAAACAAAACTCCACTGATAGAGATTTAATTGCATTCATAGCAAAGTAACAAAACTCCAAAATAAAGAGAAAAATTGGTTAAGTGTACAGTTTTAAGAAGCATTAAAATCTTATGAACTTCTCAACTCTAATGACTAAAGCGCTTTATTTCAACTATGGTCATGGCCAGTTATTTTTAAAAGTTTATCAACTCTAATGAATTTAAAGATTTTAAGGAAAACATATTTACTCACTATGAAGGTATGAGTCATTTCAGGACTATTCCCTTTAATGACAACATCATCAGTAATACAGATATCTTAGAAGATAATCATTTTCCTTCATAATTCTCAGGTGACAAATTTAAAACTTTACCAATGAAAAGGATAAGTGAAATAATAGCATTCTTTGGTTTCATATTGTTATGTTCTGAGCAGTTTTCAATTTATCCAGATACCCAGTATGATTAGAATATCCCTTAAAAGTATCAACTTAATTTAATAAAATTCATGTAACTATTATTCTACAAAACAGCACCATGTTCACAAAGCAAAAAGTGTCATTTATTCACAGACTCACCAGGTGCCAAGCACAGATTTGTTCCTCTAAAAGGTCTTAAATAAATGACGCACCATATTTAATGAAGGACCAAAACAGTAGCTCCAGTACAATTTGAAACTTATTTGATAAGGACTTGATTTATGCTGTTACACTTTTAAACCACCTGAGTTTCTAATACATCAATAAAGTTAGAAGACGACACTAGAATTAACTGTTTGGTAGCTGCCCAGGGAAATAGGCTGAAGATGTAGAAGGGAGCATTACGGGTTTTGATGAGGTCTGTAATGTGCCAAGAGTGCCATCTTTCTGATGGTCTGCAAATGAGGACAAAAAAAGATTGGTAGTCATTTAAACCTTTGTAGATACTTTCAATTAAACCAAAGTGTACAAAATCCATTTCAGAAATGTTTTCTAACCTGGGTTATTAAATAGATTCTGGCTGAGCCCACGTAAAGGAATGCTGTCTTCCCTTTTCTTCAGATATTTGGATTCTAGTCCCAAATTTTCACCACTTAAAACAAAAACAGTAATTAGTTACTTATTTCAGTAAGTATTATTTTTTCTTTAATAATTAATTTTGAAGGTTTATCTAGTATGTTGTTGTTGTTATGTGCCGTCGAGTCGGACCCGACTCACAGCGACCCCTTCTTGGGTTTCCGAGGCAGTATCACTATGGAAGTAGATTGCCCCATCTTCCTTCCGAGGAGTGGCTGGTGGATTTGAACCTATCTATCTATCTACCTATCTATCTAGTACAGAAGAAAATAAAACCAATTTATACTTAATAGTGTAACTTTCTTGGAAATAAATCACATTCTTCACTGGTTTCTTTAGCAAATAATTTAAACACAAGCAAAGTATCCTTTTGTCCAATAAAGAGTATTATAAATAAAACTAAGAATTATAAGAGCTGGGATAAGCACAGGTGGAGGAAAAGAAAATAGTTATAAAATGTGTAGTAGTGTAAGTGATAAATGATAATAATAATAAAATTACCCACATGCCTTAAAAAAACAATTATTTGGTAATTTCTAGCTGTACTTAAAATGTTTAAGATTTCTTTTTCTGTTGACCAAATGCTCTTCACATTTGGATACTGCTTCAAAGCTGTCATAAAATACTAATATACATTATACAATAATGAATTTACAGATGAACACTATTTGGATTTTAGACAAATGGGTGTGTCTCATGTTGTAATTTTTACCCTTTCTACCACTTCCCTTCTTTCCATATCTGACTACACTCATAACTAAGAAGTGAAATGCTCTTGCAAAACAGTAACATTATACCCTGCACACTCAATGATGGCCTTTTCACAATTTTCAGAAAAAGATTTAAGTTGGTGACTAGGCACTTTTTCAATTTTAACTATTTTTTTCTTTAACCTTTGATAACCATTGCTACTTTTTGGTAGTTAGTAGTTCTAAATAACAACAAAACATAGCTAAACCATCCAAGTTTTATATGATCATTGTACTTTCTACTAGTAAATTGTTACTGGTTTGTGTGATAAAATTAAATATGTAAACATGTCATAGTTTTCTACCACTATTACGAATCCCAGATCTTCTGCCTCTTGGACAAATATGAGATTAAAGATAAAAAATGCATACATTTCAGGACTTCAAAGAATTCTAACATTTTTCCAAAGGGAGGCTTACAAATACTATTTAATACTTATCTTGGAACCAATTTCAGAAGATAAATGACTGAATTTCAGAGAGCTAGCAAGGATTCTCTTTGAGCTATGTTATTAATTTGTAGTGTATTAGGATGCTAACAGGTCATACTAGTGAGTGCCAGCAGACTTGACTTAAAGCCATTAAATTTTAAGTAAATGAGAAAGCATAAAATACTGAAACCATGAAGAAGACTACTCAGATAAGTTTACATGTATGTCATGTTTGATTTAGCCACAAACTTCACTATGCAAAATCTGCTTAAGATCTAAAAAAGTACATAAGAAATCTCTTAGCAGACAAAACAGAAGTCACAAACTGGCATTAAAGCTTATTAATATTACATATAAGACATAAGCCCTTTGCTCTTATTTATCATATAATTCTAGTTGGTTTAAACTAGCTATGTTCTTGGATTACTTAACATTAGAAGCAATGAATGAGAAAAATGGAACCTTTCCAAAGGCAAACATATACATACAGAAAACCACCACTGCCGCCACCAAAAAGCAGCTGACTACAAAGAATTTAAAATATTTCTAATTACGTGCCTAAAAATATTTAAAAGGACAATCTTCAGGAAGTACTTACTTTTCCTTATCAGTTGAGCAAGTCATATTAATAGTTGCTCCTGATTGAACATCCCCTACAGAAGTATTTGGTTTTGTAAATGGTAAATTAAACTGAACCTGTGAGAGAGAAAGCATGTAACTAAATTATTGAGAACAGTTTTACCTTGAGGTGTTAGCACCATCATGATGGCCCCTTACTCATGGCAACCCTGTGTAGAACAGGCCATTGTGATACATAGCATTTTCACTAGTTGAATTTTCCAAAGTAGAATGTCAGGGCTTTCTTCCTAACCTGTCTTAGTTTGGAATCTCTGCTGAAAGTTCATCATCTAGCAACATGCTGGCCTCCAGTAACAGACTGGTGGTGGCAGCATCTGAGGTTCATTGGCTGGGAGTGGAACCCAAGTCTCTTGCATGAAAGGCAAGAATTCTAATACTGAACTGCCACTGGCCCCCATATTGATGTAAAACCAAAATCCCAAACCCACTGCCATCGAGTCAATTCCAACTCATAGTGATCGAGCAGAGCTGCCCCATAGGGTTTCCAGGACTATAAATCTTAACAGAAAAAGACTAACACATCTTTCCCCCATGGAGTACCGTTCAGCAGCCAAGCTCTTAACCAGTGCACCAGTAGGACTCCCTCATACTGATATAAAATAGTTAAAAGTTTATTCTGAGAAATTCAGACCATAAAAATACAGGCTCAAGCTGTAGTTTCTAACACTCAAGCACATTTTATTAAGATTTAGTAGAGTCCTATTTCTCCTTGCCATACAAGCAAGTTCCTTGGTTACAACAAAGATGATTAATACACAATGACTCTCTTTAATTATAACAAAAACATTAATATGTACAAATATGTATTATACTGTTAAAAATAACCAAGTACTGCAAAGATGCATTTATTTTTCTCATGCATTCTGAGAATCCTTTTTTCAACAACTTTCAAAGCCTATAATATATTTATTTAAGGATTACAAATGAATTCTAGTAATCTGAATTTTGGATAGCTGAAAGTAAGAAAAAATCTATGTAAAAATCCAAACTAAAATATTAGCATATAAAATCTAGCAGTATCTTTAAAGTAGCCATGTTTTATTATCAAGGAATGTATAAATGGATTCTATATTAGAAAATCCATAAACAAATCATCATATTAATAGATCAAAGAAGAAATATCATAACCACTTACATAGAAAAAGAAAAGGCATTGGAAAACAGTAAACAACTATTTTTGGGAAAACTCAATAAAATGGGAATAGATACTAGCTTAATATGTAAATCAGAAAGGTATACACTGCTGTACTTGGCTAACAAGGTTCAATATTGTTAAGTAAGTTCTTTACACATCATTCAACATGTTTAAAACAGTAATGTTAAATATCATAGGATGTTTTTTAGCCAGAGAAGCTGATTCTAATATTCCTCATAAAAAAATAAATATGCAAGAAGAGTAAAGAGTGAGGAAAATTAAGAAACTGTGCCAGATTCTAATACATAATATAGCTTCTAGTCATCCATCATAAACAATTAGAAAACTGAGCAATAAATGAAAAGAATGTTCTCAGATACTGACAGTAGGTAATGCAGAATTGTTATCTCTGAGAAAAGTATGATCCTGAAAACTGACCCACTTTCTAACTGGAGGCACTTTCCTAACTGAAGGTTCAGAGGGAGAGCACATAGTCTGGAGGTCTTGTTAAATGGCAGAGACCAAGGTCAGAGTTTAGGAAGACTGGGGTGACTAAAAGGTTGCAAGACAGAGTTCTAGGGTGAAGGGAGCTATCCAGGAAAGATGCACCAGAAACCTGCATATGGGTCTCCTTGAGTCTTTGCTGTGTACTAGGCACATGCTTTGAAACTTACTATAAAGCTAAAGTGATAAAAACTATATTATTGGCAAAAGAATAGACAAACAAATCAAACAGAATAGAGTCCAGAAATAGAACCCCACAAATACAGTCAACTGATCTTTGAAAAAGGAGCAAAAGGAATCCAATGAAGAAAAGACAGTCTTTCCAACAAATGTTCCTGAAAGTAGATATCCATCTGTAAAAAATTAATGATACCACTTTTATAAAAAGACAAGGATACACATACAAAAAGCCAACATTCTTTGGTGGTTACCAGGGATGGGAGGGGAGGGAGGGGAAACACTTTCTAGATTGTAGACACTTACTATTTTTGGTAATGGAAAAAGTGGGTGAAGTCTGCACAACTTCACAAAGGTAAACAATGAAACTATGAAGTATACAGGAATAAGAGGCATTTTTGGTAAATATTATATACAATTTTGCAATAACAACCAAAAAATATGTGTGTGGTTACACAGGTAGATATGCATGCATATATGTTTATAGGAAGGCATATGTGAGTATAAGACTGTGTATGTGTGGTTGTACCTATAGGCATACTTATATACATGTTTGTGTGTGCTGCATATATATTCATATATATAATACAACAAATAGGGGCACAGCTAGTGAAACTTCCTAGACAAAACCAAATACTTTGCAGGATTAGTCACTGGGTTTTGAAGGTTTAAGACCATTGTCTAGTGGGACAACTTGGTCAACTGGCACAACATAGCTCATAGAGTTCATGTTGTACATCCTTGTTAGATGAGTAGCATCTAGGGGCTCAAAGCTTGTGAGCAGCCATCTAAGATAAAACTACTGGTTTCTATGTGTGTCTGGAGAAAAGGGAATGCAGGAAACCAAAGACTCAAGAAACTAGTCCACAAAGCATAAGTTCTTCTAGCATGAGACCAGAAGAATTAGATAGTGCCCAGCTACCACTACTGACCATTCTGACCAAGGATGTAACAGATAGTTCCAGATAGAATGAGAGAAAAATGTAGAAAACATTTCAAATTCTTTAAAAAGGTGTGATAGTTGGAGCTGTGTGTCAACTTGGCTGGACCCCAGTTCTGTGTGATTGTTCCCATGATGGGATCGGATGACTGTGTTCTGAGTGGCCAATCTGCCCAAGGGGAGTTTTCCTAGGGATGTGGCCTGCTTCCAGGATATCCAGGGACATCCTGGGAAGAGAGACATTCTTCTGTGGATCAGGACCCTGGTGTGCTGCCTACAACCTTCCGCGAGTGAGCAGCCCACCATTCAGCCTGGAGATCTTGGATTCGTCTTTCATTGGAGTCAACAACCAGTGCACTGTCTGCCAGCCTTGAATTTCTCAGCCCCCTGCGGTTGCAGAAGCTAAGGCTACCTCCAGCCCAACGTTTCCTCCAGGGACTTTGGACTTGCTGGCTTCTATATGTTTGTGAGCCATTTTCCTAAGATAAATTTCTCTCTGTCTCTCTCTCTATATATATAAGCTTTGCTGGTTTTTGTTTCCCTAGAGAACCCAGGCTAACACAAAAGGCTAGATTTACGGGGCCAGTAGAACCTAGAGGAATTACTGAGACTGTCACCTGAGATACCTTTGAAACATGGAAATGAACCACTCCCAGAGGTATCATCTTAATAGACTGGATCATAAACAATATCATCAGTGAGTATTGAGGACTTTAAAAAAAATCATCTATATAAGAATGGCTATGTATACACAGGGAGATGGCTCAGGAGGCAGGAGTACATGGGATGGAAAGACACAAGGGAAGAGGTAACTATGGAGAGGAAGTAAAGAGGGGAGCTGTTGCACTGTGGGAAATTGCAGTCAGTCAATGTCATGAGACAAAGTATGTAAGCTGCTGTATGGAAAGTGAATTTGCTCTGTAAACTTTCACCCAAATCACAATAAAAATCTTTTTTAAAAAATCATCTATATAAGACCAAATGGTCAACATTTACCCTAAAGCAAAGATGAGAAGGCAAGGGAGGCAGGGAAGCTAGATTAATGGAAACAGAACAACCAGAATGGAAATAATAACGTTGAGGCAATGAAAAATGTAACCAATGTCACCAAACTGAGTAAAATCACCAACTGGATGTAACTATTTAGGGAACCCTACACCCAACAACAGCAGAATATCTATTCTTTTCAAGTGTACATGGAACACTGACCAAGACAGCCTATTTCCTGAGTTATGAAACCAATCTTAAGAAATTTAAATGAATTTAAATCATGCAGTGTTACTGTATAATTGAGACCTCGTGGTGGTACAGTGGTTAAAGCACTTGGTTGCTTAAATTGTGTCCCTTAAAAATTTTTTGGAATCCTAACACTGATACTTATGAATGTAATCTTGTTTGAAAACACAAAAAACCAAAAGTAAACTCACTGCTGTGGAGTCAGTTGTGACTCATAGCGACTCCTCCTTGGGTTTCCAGGTTTCCAAGGCAGTATCACTAAGGAAGTAGATTGCCCAACCTTCTTTCTGAGGAGTGGCTGGTGGGTTTGAACCTCCAGCCTTCTGGGTAGCAGTCAAATGCCTTAGGCACTGTGCACCACAGCTGCCTTTGGAAATATAGTCTTGTTATAATAGTTAGGCTGAACAAAACATGGAAAATAACCTAGATGTCCATCAACTGAGGAATGGATAACCAAACTATGGTACATACACACAATGGAATACTATGCAATGCTAAAGAATAATGTAGA